GGCCGCCCCGCTCCGCAGCAGCACACCGATGGTGGCCTTCTGCTGGCGGATGTGTCTCGAGCCCCCCTCTGTCTGTTGCCGCTCCTGTTGCTGTCGCGCAAAAAAGTCGAAACGATCGGCAGCCATAGCGAGGGGTGTCCGATGAGGCTGGGGGGGCCTTCCTCTGTTGATGTCCTCAGCTGGGAGCCGGCGGCACAGCCACTCGGCCACATAGGGGGAGCCACGCCATGCTGCGATGTGCAGTGGCGTCCAGCCGGTGTCTGTTGCCGTCATGTCGGCTCCGTGGCTGGTGATGAGGGTGAGGTACTGGTCGATGAAGGACTGGGAGAAGATGGAGGGGGCCTCGGCGGCCAAATGCACCAGATTGAATCCATGAGCGGTCCGCTGGGCTGCGAGTGTGTTGTCGTGTTGGACAAGTCGGCGGTACACCGACATGAGGGCGGCCTCGTACTCACGAGTGGCGGGAGGGGCAGCATCGTGGATGTATGGAAGCCGCATCACCGTGAATCCCCGCACGTCGACCTGACGCGCCAGGAGGGCATCCACTGCCGTCAGATTGCCTGCCGCAATTGCCACCTTGATGGGACTCTCAGACCCGCCGCCCCTATTGACGTCCGCCCCGCCGTCGATGAGTGCATTGATGATGTCCTGCTGCAGCTCACGGGAGGACCACTGTGGCAGGGAGACGCGCACATCGTAGCCATCCTCGCCGTCCGCATAGAGGAGCGGGTAGTTTGTTGGACTGTCGATGGCGAAAGACGGGCAGTTGTATCGCCAGTACGGGGTGACTGTGGGGCCGCGGACACGAAGGTTGCCGATGGCTCTCGGGTCGGCTCCTTGACGGATCAGCTGTGTGACGGATCCTGCCTCGGTGAAGGTTCGGCGAATGCAGCCCTGCAGCAGCTGCTGACTGACAGCACTCACGCTCCTACCAGGGACGATGTCGACGTCATCCAGCCCCTTGCAGCCGTGTGGCAGCGTAGCATGAGGAGGTGCTTGCGATGCGGCAGAGGATGGTTGGGCCATCCCAATGAGTCACACCACTGCATACACACAGACACGCACAGTCACTTGCGAATCCCTCCTCCATCCAACATTGCCGGCGCACCTGGTCAGTCAGTCAGTCAGTCAGTCGGCGGCCGTCACAGCGACCCCACCAACGACATCTGCAGTGAGAACACACAGAGATGCCACCCCGGCCAGTGGTGCTTTGCTGGTTTGTTGATTCCTTCGTTCATTCCTCATACCGTCAGCAGGAGCATCAGCAGGCCCCAGACTCCAAGAACAAAGGCTACTTCTCCGTTTGCTTCTTCACCGAGGGCTCGACAGCTGACAACACACACGGCAGGCAAAGAGGCCACGCATGTTCGGTCTTTTCGTTTGTTTCCTTCCTTACTGTGTCTGCTGACCTGGAACAACCTGCGAAAGAGCCGTTTCGCTCCACTTTTTTCCCTCCCGATCGGCACCATTTGCGAGCTTGGCGCCAAAATGAGTGACAACAGAGTTGTGTTGGAGTTGTCAGTGTCCGCGTCTAAGGAGAGGGACGTGCTGTCATCAAGATCAAGCCTCACGAGCGCGGCCGCCCGGCCCGGCTTGTCGCTGAGGCGGAGATGACCCATCTGCTGGTACATCCGTAGCAACTCATGGAGGTAGGTGCCAACCACGACAGAACAAGAGAGAGAGGAGCAGCTGACTCAGATCTTCTGTTGGTTTGCAGGTGTGTGGCGGAGCTGACGAGAATGCCGGCAAGCGGCCTCGTGTGGACCTTGACGACTCATCGCCCGCTGCTGGATCTGGAGGTGAGAAGAAGGATCCATGAAGGGAACAGACCGACTCACTCTTTGATGGCCTGCTGCCTTTGTTGTGTGATGCTCTCTCGTCATGCAGGTGGAGGATGTAGCACTGGTGTAGCTGTAGATGGCGGCCAGCCGTCGGACCAAGAGGTGCATCCCGTCATAGACTGGGTCAGCAGCACAGCCACCTGCCTGGACGACACACGCAGACACACTTGATGGCTCTGTGTGTGCCCGTGTGTGTGTTCATTCTCTCAGGCTGACAAGGCGAATGTTTGTCGGCTGGTGCCCTTGTTGAAGAAGATCAAATCGCTCGAGGCGCAGACGGCGACCGTGCTGTCAGAGATGCGACCGTACGTCACGCCCACACTGGCCGACAAGGTACACACACACACACACAGACGCCCTTCTCCTTCTGTCTGTGAGTGTGTGTGTGTGTTGGCAGGTGCCGGCCCTGTCAAACAAGCTGCTGACGGTGGAGCAGTCGGTGGCGTCGCGACACGACGCGCTGCGGGGTCTCATCAAGACACTCGACAGCGTCAAAGTCGCCAAGCCGCCACTCCCTCAGCCCATCGCCAACAGACCCCTCCCACCAGACACCATAATAACCCAGGCAAGCCACACCAAATCAGCCCAAACATCCACACAACATGACATGTGCGCCCCTGTGTGTGTGATCAGCTCGGTCGTCCATGTCTGGACGGCCTGCCGCCCGACGTGGCGCACATCGTGTTGGCCTTCCTGCCCACCAAAGACGCCGCGCCCCTCTCCCGCGTCAACCAGGCCATGAAGCAGCTCGTCACCGACGACACCAGGGGCGTGTACCGCCACTTGGTCATTGGTGTGGACGAGCGACAGTGGTGGGATGCGGGCATTCGGAGGAACGCCAGACGGACGTTCGAGGACATCGGCGTCCATGGCGACGGCAGTAGCCGGGGGAGCTCTGGAGGGGAGGGGAAGGGGGTGGCGGCGGCGCGGCCCTCAGGCGGCATTCGGAGGACCGCCTGGCAAACGGGCGAGAGCCTGAGCGTCGATGGCGACGGCAGCAGTGAGGAGGAGGATGATGATGATGATGATGAAGCAGAAGAAGAAGACGACGACGACGACCAGGGAGAGGAGGATGAAGAAAGGGAGGGAGGGGAGGGAGACGATGAGGAGGGGGGAGGGGACGACTCGGCCGGGGAGGGGGCGGCGGGCGGGGCGGACCTCAGACAGCAGAGCAAGCGGCTGAGAGAGCAAGACACCCTCAAAACACTGAAGCAGAAACTGGTGCGCCACCACACCGCACCAACCAAGTCGAGACCATAGCTGACTCCTGTCTGTCTGGTGGCAGGGTCGGCTGCGGACGGTGCACATCAGCAGTCACTGGAAGGGCCTCGACTTCCCTCTCGAGTGCATCGAGGCCTCCCGCGACACAGTGAGGAGCATGAAGCTCGACTACACCCCGGGCTTCGAGAATTACCACTACAGCGTCTCGACATCGCCGCCCACTGTGACCTTCTCACAGCTGGAGGAGCTCTACGTCGAAGACTGGCCAGATCACCGTGGGTAAGCATGACTGTTCTTCATGGTCACACCGCAGCTGTGTCTTGATCATCCCCTCTGTGTGTGTGTGTGTGTGTGTTTAGGTTTCGAGGGTGGCGATTCCCATCTCTTCTTCGCCTGCGTGCGGGGAACCGAAGCTACGGTGGTCATGGTGTCAGTGACATCGTGGAGCATGCCCCCAAGCTCAAGTCACTGTGTAAGCAATCATACCTCTCACATGCACCTGCTGCATCGATGGATGAGTTCTCTGTCCCTCTCCCTTGTCTGCAGCGATCGAGGAGCTGTTTGCTGACGATGAGGATGACGATGACTTCGCCTCCCTCATTCAGGGATGCCCGCACCTCACCGACATCGAGTGGGTTAAGATGGACGGCCTCTACGACTTCACGTCGACACTGGGCAAGCTGAAGCGTGCTCTCGACCCCATCTGGACCAAGGATAGCCTGAAAGGTGCGCCAGCCACCGAGCGAGAACAGACAGAGGAACCACCGACAGGCTGGCCGCATTGTTTTTGTGGCTGTGTGCAGATGTTGAGAAGAGGATCGGCCTGGAGTTCGGTGACAAGATCTCCGTTCCCTTCACCCATGAGCTGCTCCATCCCACAGACCCTGATGCTATAAGCCTCCCTGCCTTCCTCGACTGGGCAGGTAAGTTAGTAGGACGAACCGACAAATGGACAGACGGGAGGATTGCAATGCTACGCATCTCTGTTGTGTGTGGGTCTGTCTGTCTGCAGCGTTGGCCAACTGCACGGTTGACTGGAGGGTCGATGAGGTGGCTATCGACTGCTCCAGGGACCTCGTCACTTCTCCTCCTGCACCCACTGGCCCCATCGCCAAAATGATCAAAGACATCAGCAGCACAGCGAAAGAGGTGAGCAACGCAGCACCGAGACAAGAGGCCGTACAGAGACGCACATACACCCCTGCTCATTGTCTGCATGCTTTGGTGCAGGTGACTCTGCGGTGTGGCGGGAGGCCTCTGGACCAGTCATGGGCCGGCCTGCTGGTCTTCACCAAGGCCAACAAGGTATCGGTGGAGGGGCTGACGTCATCCCGGGCCTTGTCGAGTGTGCCGCAGTGGATGGCCGCGAGGAGCGACACCACCAGTGGCAATCGCCACCTGCCCAACATCACCAGCCTCGTTCTCGATCTGGGTGTGTGTGACGGCGTGCCTGCGGGGCTCGATGGCCCGGGCACATTGCTGGGCACCTTAGACAGGCTCACGACAGTCAGTTTGACACGTTTGCCGAGCCTGGGCGTGGCAGCGTTTTGCCTATCGCAGCTGCCCCCTGACGTCAAGCTAGAGAGCGTCGAGGTGAGGGCATCGGTGTGTGGTTCAGAGGTGCCCGCCATCTCTGACTGCGCCCGATACCCTCACATCGCCTCCATGACTGTCGAAGTGATTGTTAGCGAAACGATAGATGAGGTTGCGTCTGGCGTTGCGTTGATCGCTGCCGTGCGGCCTGCAGCCGCTCGGCTGGTAGCGTTTGTCGACCTGAGTGCTCTGCACAATTTGGAAAAGGGCGATGGCAGAGAGGCCGCATTCCATTCAGTAGTCGAGCAGTGCATCCATCAGGCAGAGAAAGCCCACTATGGCCTGATCGCTGACGACAGCGAGTCGGGTGGCGGCTTCGACGTAGAGTGGTCAGATGTAGAGCTGCAGCTGGTGAGGCTGCCAACGCATTCATGACATGTCTATGCGTGGCGTGTGGGGGCTGGATGATGCTCTGCCTCTCAATGTGTGTGGTTGACGTGTTGATGCATTCGATCATACGTACGTGGCTGCAGTGACACTGTTCGTGCTTGTAGCTATCAACCATTCTCTGGATGTCTGAGCAATGAGCATCCATATTGAAAGAAAGAAGCCAATCCATTCATCCCTCCCGTCCATTCCCACTCTGCCGACACACCCACACCCACGTCCTGTGGTGTGTGTGTATGTGATGTGTGTGTGTCCGCTGTGGAGGCCATCAATCAATCTCTCTCTTACAGCGGTTGAATGCATCGTGTGAAGGCATGAATGCACTGACAGTCTGTGTCTGTCGCTTTGATCAGTCCTTCGATTGCCAGCAAATCTCAAGACTGATCAGCGAACGTCACGAGGCGTCTGCACACACAAATGTTACACAGACACACATCAAAGGGAGGGAGACACGTCCATTAATTACATGGCTGCTTACATCCTGGTGGGATGATCTCCCCGGTCGCTTCGGATCGGCCCCCTCAGCGCACAGGGCGGCCTCTCCGACCGATTCACACCTCGCTCCATCTTCTCTGCGCACATCCCAACAACAACACACACACACGCGTCACGTGGCTGTCGGTCACTGGATCTCTCACCTTTGAGCTTGAGTGCCGTGACAGCTCCTGGGTGATAGTGGTGGTGCAGCCGTCCGCTGCAGAACTGCACTTGGCCGAATGTGGTCGTCTCTTCGCTGGGCCGGAGGGTGAAGAACCGACAGTCTTCCAACTCGTCACTGGACATCACACACCACACAGACAGGGGGAGAGCCCAACTCTATTGCTGCGCTGCCCTACCCACCAGTGGTATGCGGCTGTGGTGGCGTTGATGTTGTCGTGTTGCTCGAGCGTCTCGCTGCACGCACTCAGCATGTTCGAGTAGACGTCGTAGTTGGCAACCGACAGCGGCTTGACATAAGTCGTGGGAAACCTTCAATGAGGAGACAGCGAGAGAGAGACACGTGCAGTGTGTGTGTCTGTGTGTCGGAAGGTCGTACGGCGATGTTTGTGTGGTCAGGGTGTGCAGTGTGCGCATCCACGTGTCATCGAGACACACACGTGCAGTCGGCCAGCTGAATGCCGTGCACTCAGTGGCCTTGTCGCACCACTCGCGCATCTCATCGACGCCACTGATGCCCTGACGACACACACAGACAGACAGACAGACAGACAGACAATGGAGTGACTGATTGATTGATGTGGTGGAGAGGCTCACTGACTGACTTACCATTTCTGCCGGCAGGAGAGTGATTGACCGGCGGCAGTCGACTGTGTGGTTGGCTATGTGCAGGTACTCGGTGGTCGGCCACACAGACACCTCACCTGTGTCATCGTCATGATTCGCAGCCAGGAGACACAGACGAGAGTGGGGCCCTTCCCTCTCTCTCCATCACTCAGTTACCTACCTCTGTGTTTGCGGCCGACGTGGAGTGCATTGCAGCGGGCCAGCCACCACACCGACAGAGACAGCACAAAGAGGAGCTTGATAGCCATCTTAGCTGCACTGATCATCGCGCGATGAAAAATTGATGAAGTCGGGTCACTCACACACATGTATATATATGTGCGTATGGAGTCGATGATAAAAAAAGAGGACTACACATGAAGCGTGTCATCGATCAATGGACAGAAAAAGCCAGCCGCCTACAGCTCGTCCCCCGCGACAGTCGTCTACTCTCTCGTCAGTCGTCTATCTACGGCTTGAGGGCGTGGATGTAGCAGCTCGAGGCGAACTGGTTCAGGTCGCTCGTCATGAAAGCAGACCCGGCCTCACTATCGCTTTGCTCAGCACCGCAGCAGCTCACTCTCGTTGCTTCTGACCGGCTGGTCGAGCAGCAGCTGCCCTCCTGCTGCTGCTGCTGCTGCTTCGGCAGGACGTCGAGCTTCTTCCACACATTCAGGTCAGCGTTCTTGTCCACCAATCTGACCTCGCCGAAGCCCACTTGACGCAAAAGCGACTCGTACTCCTCTGCTTGCAGGGCGCCACCCACACAGCACACACGCGTGCGGATGTCCTGCAGACATGACACATACACATGCACACCATTTCGTGTGTGTGTGTGCGTGTGTGCGTCGGCGCTCACTGACCGCAGCGAGGCCAGGAGGGACCTTTTGCCTGAGGACGATGTCAGATATCACCACACGACCACCTGCATGCCGTGCGCACACAAAGACAAACAGACAGACAGACAGACAGCATACACGTGCGTGTGTGGCCTGAGTGCTCCCTGCCCCACCAGCCAGCCACCGACCGACCTGATTTGAGCACCCTGAAGAGCTCGCTGAATGCCTTTGTCTTGTCAGGCACCAGATTGAGCACACAGTTGGAGATGACGCAGTCCACGGATCGGTCAGCGATCGGCAGCCTCTCCAGCTCGGCGTGGTGGAAGTCGACATTGGCAATGCCCCTTTTCTTGGCGTTGGCCCTCGCCCGCTCGACCATGTCAGCGCTGTAGTCAACGCCGATCAGCCGGCCGCTGGGGCCCACCTGAAATAGTCACATTATTGCAGTCACATCAGGACAATCACACCCGTTGCACCCAAAGTTCGTTTTCATTTGCCCGGCTGACCCTCTTGGCGGCCAGAAAGAGGTCGAATCCAGCTCCAGCGCCGAGGTCCAACACCACCTCGCCCTCTCTCAGGTCAGCCTGAATACACACAGCCAGAACACACACATCCCTTGATGCATCCATCCATCAATCCGCCCGCAGGACAGAGTGAGTAGGTCTTTCGTTGACTGCCTGCCGACTCACCCACCCTGCTGACGGGGTTGCCGCACGAGAGGCCCATCGAGGCACCCGCACCCAGCTCGTGGACGTCCTGCTTGGAATAGCCGAAGCTCTGCGCTAGCTGGTCGGCCTGTTCTTGCTTGGCAGGGTTGAACTCGCGACACACTTTGCTGTAGCAGTCACGCACCGTCTCCTTGATCGCCAGCTCGTCCGGCGACGGCTGTGTGCTCTTCAGCGTCGAGTCCGCTCCCCTGCACGAGGGGTATTCCAACACACACACACACACACACACACAATTTTTGGGTCCGCTGTTCCATCACTCGAGTGCATACCCCTTCACATGCTTCCTCAGACGCTCCATCTGCTCGCTGCTGAAGCCATAGTCGAAGCGGAACTCACCAACCAGCAAAGCGGGGATCTCCTCACAAGACAGACTGCGGTGGCCGAAATCGACGGAGGCCTTGCCATCCATCACCGGAGGGACGTCCACGTCCACAGGGGGCCAGCCGCCGCCGGTCTCGTGTGCCGTCCATGCGAAATGGGTGTGCTTGTACTTGCCCTTGGTGATGACCTTGGCGCCATACGCTGTGTGAAGGACGGCCAGCGGCACCTGGGAGAAGAGCGGATGGACGTTGGCCACATGGAAGTTGGCAAAACTTCAGACGTGGACAGACAGAGAGAGAGGAAGAAATGCGCATTGGCCGAGTGGGGTGCATTCTTCCCCGTCAGCGCTCACACGGTGTCCTGGGGAATGTAGGTGTTCTGCTTGAGGTCAACAGTGTACCTGACAGGAACATAGCCCAGCCAGACAGACAGGCGTGACTGAATGACCCCATCAACCTATTTCTCGTCATCTTCGTGGCTCGTCCGTCACTCACCAGGGTGTCCATGTGTTGTCCTCCGACATCCACTCGAGAAGATACAGCCCCTCGGCAATGCACGACAGCCGGTGGCCGGGGATCACCGTCGGTGTGCCCTCTGTGGGGAGGTGGATTGGTGATCGGATGCACTTGGTCCCGTTGCCCACATCTGTGATGTACTCGCTCTCCCCCAAGGTCACGAGAATCACCAGGTGGTCCAATTGTGCAATCGCTGGGTAGGGCGTGTCCTCACCACTGATGCGCGCTGCACATGCAGACACACATCGACACACACAGGCGCAAGCAGAGGATGGGTGCCTTGAGGTGGATGTGTGTGCCTGCGCATGGGCTGACCCAAGAGTGGCTTGACGCGAAAGCCCAATGCGTCCAGGAGGCGACAATATCCGCCATTCAGCTCGTAACAATATCCGCCACGATTGTGCGTCACGATTTTGTTGAACGTCGCGAAAGGCTCCAGCTGTGGCACTTTGTGATTGTCTTCGCTGAGAATGATATGCAGGTTCTCGAAGGGCACTGACGATAGGTGCTTTCGCTGCAGCAGCAACAGCAGCTCGGGGGACGGCTCCTTTGCCTCACCCACTGAGATCCCGATCCTCTCGAGGTAAGCAGCGACTTCCGTGCTGCTCAGCTTCTCGCCAGGGAGCCAGCGGTTCGCCATGTTTTCCTTCGCACCCTCTGAGCTAAGCTTGCAGCTGCAACTACTCAGCTCGCAGCCGGGAAAGAGGCGGCCCGGCAGCCTGTGCGATTGCCCGGCAGCGGACCTGAATTCTCATCTATGCAGATCCATGCTCTTCTCCCCTCGACAAGCGCCCCATCTTGACATCGGTCGTGACGCCGCCTTCCCACCGATGTCGGACGCGTCAATGACTCATGCCACTGCTGACATCAAGTGCCTCAAGTGCGGGTCGCTCGGCCGACGAGTCGCATGCCCCCTGTCCGGCGAGATGCTCTACTGCTCGACACGATGCCTTCGTGAAGATGAAGACACTCGTCGGGAGCCCTGTGAGCTCTTTCGCACCATCGTGAGGCCGGCCTTTACCAATGTCAACGTCGCGCGGCTGTTCATCGGCTTCCTCGACATGGCCGATTTCTACACGTGTCAGGTGGAGCGCGAGAGGGCGGCGATTGAAGAGTGCCTGGCTGGTGTGGCCGCCAAGGATGCATCTGCTGGAGACGCCACTGCAGCAGCTGCAGCAGTCGAGTTGAGTGAGCCGCAGCCTGGCGAGGTTGACCTCCGCATCCGAGAGGATCCGATGGGCGAATATTTCAACTTCTGTCCTTACGTGGTCGACGCGACATTTGGAGGGAGCTCGGGTGTTTCTGAGTGCCCGGTGCTTCGTTTCCTTCCCACCTTTAGCAAGGCGGACCATATAGACCCGCTGCTGCTGCCTTTCGCCAGGGCGGCCGTGCGCGACCTGCAGCGGGCCGGGCTCAAGGTGCGTTTTCTGGCCTTTGACCTGCTCTTCAGGGCCCAGCGGCACCATTCGCAGCTCTACACGGTCGATGGCGTGCCCGTCTTCTCGAGCCCCCCGAGTGTGCTGATCTCTTGCCTCTACCCGTCGGTGGCCAGGACATTTACAGAGTATAGCAAGCCGCTGACGGCCTTCATCACCTCCCCGCCCCTCTTCCAAGCCGCCATTGAGGCTGTGCGGTGGCCCCGATTTGCACGCCACGCGACAGGTGGTCATCTGGTGCCCTCCCCGAGCGAGCAATGGGTGGCCGATTGGGTGCGGTGGTGTCTGTGGGAGCGGCGGACGGACTTGGCGGCGCTGCTGGACGCCAAGATTGACGAGGACATGGCCAAACTCAAGGTGGATGGGCAGCGACAAGGCGCCAATCCATATGCGCGTGATTTCGGGTGTGTCTGTCTGGTGTCCTTTCGCTTCGCTGCTGCAGAGCAAGGGCAAGGCCATCGACAAAGGCGTGTTGGTGCAGCAGCAGCTGGCTCGCCTTCAGAGGGATACTGTCGCCGACTTCATGCGCGTGGTCGACAGCCTCAGGACGGCCGAGCCCAAAGACGCCCAGGAAGGTACACACACAGAGAGACTGACAACTAACACCACACACGGCCTGCAGTGCTCGCTTCCTTTCTGTGTCTTGTTTGTCCCCAGTTATCAGTTTTGACGGCAATCCCCCAGCTGCCACAGCCACCAAGGATGAGCAGGTTGTGTGTGACCGGCTGGCAGAAGAGATCCGAAAAGCCTCCGACACCACCGAGATGCTCGCGCGGGTGAAAGACTTCGAGAGATCCATCCGAAGGGCACTCGCCATCAACGTGGGCATGTAGTGATTCTCTCTGTCTGTGAGGTCGTCAAGTCGATCTGTCTGCCTGCCTGTCTGTCTGTCTGTCTGTCTGTCTGCAGGACATAGATGACCTGTTGGGCCTGATCTACCAAATAGACTCATATATGTCGCTGCACATCCACTTCGGCCACTGGGAAAGGCTGCTCAAGGTCAGCTGGGAAGGAAAGGCGACACTCTCCCCCCGCAAAGATGGAGATGGTCAGTCACCTCTGCGTGTGAATATGTCCCTGTGTGTCGTGTCAGGAGAGCACAGACCTCTGGAGGCTCATGTGCCTCAAGGTCAAACAGAACTCCTGCAAAACGGTCAGCGAAACAGACAGACAGCAGAGGCACCACCAGCGCCCAAACACCCACCCACTGTACATGTGTGTGTGAATGTGTTCAGGTGAAAGACGAGGCCAGCAAGTTTATCCAAAATATGACGGAGGGCATCCAGTGGGCCCAACAGAACCCCAGCTGCCCACCACCAAAGGCAAGCCATCAACACGCGGCCCGCACAGAGAGACGCATAATGCACAGCCACATGGCCTGTCTTCCGCCCTATTTGTGTGTGCGTGTGGTGTGTCTGCAGCGGCCGAAGGTGTTCATGGATCTGAACTGTGTGGACAGCAAGGGCGACAACATAGTCCGCCGTGTGGTCATCACGCTCTACACCGACGTCAACCCCAAGGCCGCCGAGAACTTCAGGTGCTACTGCACCGGGGAGAAGGGCACCGGCACGGCCGGATACCCGCTGCACTACAAACGTGAGTGAGCGACAGCAGGCGCATCTACACATAAGTGTCCGTCGTGTAGTCTGTGTGGCGGGTGTGATGTCATCATGACACTATCAGATTCGGCCATCCTGTTCGCCATTAAGGGCAGCGACTTGGTCGGCGGCTACATGTGTGGCGGCAACGTCTTCAAGATGAGCGAAAGCATCTATGGAGAGAACTACAGCCGGTGGGACCACCGCCGCTCTCTTATCGCCCCACGTCGGCCAGGCCTTGTCGTGCTCGTCGGGGAGAAGACCAGCACGAAGACCGGCATACAGAGCTATCGAGAGCACGGTCAGAGTGTGTGTGTCGGCATAAATCACCCCATGGTTGCATCCCTGTGTGTGCACTCACTTGTCGTGTCTGTCTGTGGGTGGGTGTTTCAGGCGGTCGGTTTCTCATCACGGTGTCGTCGGCCAACTCGTGTGAGACCTTCGAGACGGTGGTCGGCTACATCGACGACATGGTGATGCTCGCACACCTGCACGCCATCTCGATCAAGACAGAAGACAAAAAGACCCCCAAGGCCAGCAGCAGCAGCAGCAGCCGCGATCGGAGGCTGGCCAGTCTGGGGGAGATGAGCTATGGGCCTCAGAGGGACCTTGTGTCGCTCAGTTCACCCATCGTCGTGCAGCATTGCGGCGAGCTGCCCGATGAGTGATGACTCAGGAGTGAGTGGCTCACCTACCCATTGGCCCGTTGGCCGCATTGCGGTGCTTCTGGCCGATGGTTTGGCCAAAGTTGACGGGCGGCTTCTGTTGCTTGATGTGCTGGATAAAGTATGGGATAGGGCGTAGAGGAAGGGCAGCTGCGTGTCTGAAACCTATAGATGTCGTCACCATCAAACAGACCGCGTGTATTGCCAGGTGGACTCTGCATAATCGATGAATGCAATCCGGAAAGCACCTGGCTGGCGGGTGTAACTGTTCGGTGGATGTGTGTCACTCATGCTGTTTTGCCAGCCAAACCAACACCGTGGGGAAGAGGTCGAGTAGCACTTCACCGCAGTCAATTCATTCCATCCGCCATCCCCCTGTGGTCAATGTGAACCTCGTTCTTAACTATACGCCGGCACAGAGTCATGGGCATGGTGTGTGTGTGCTTTGCGTTGCCATGGATGGATGGATGGTTGGTGGATGGACGGACGGACGGATGACTTGCCTGCATCGTAAGTGTTACTTAGTTCCTTTCCTCGATCAATCCCAGACAGCCACTACTCAGTTACGTCAGTTTCCTAAAACAATCCACACCTGACACGCACCCACACGCGACCCGCTACTCCGAGCTCCTGCGAGCTGCCGGCGCCTTCTGGAGGGAGGGGAGTGTTGTGTCTTCCCTCGCGCTTATTGCTCGATGGATTCTGCACAAACGAATGAGTGCAATCCATCCTCCATGCCTAGCTCGCAGCCGGCAAGGAGAAGAAAGCTGGAGGCTCTTTCTCTGCTGATCCTCCCTGATCTGCCAGCATGACAGCAGCCACCTCTCTGGCGAATGAACTGAGTGCCGTCGGCAAGAAGCTGCGTGAGGCCTCGCAGCATCCTGATGGTGATCCTGACGCTGCGCTTCCTCTGCTTGGCGAGCTCACATCTATACTCACCAAGGCCAAGGATGAAGGAGCTGCTGACAAGGCCACCGACCGGGCGGAGAAGGTCACAACCGTGCTGCAGGATGTCGCCAAGAGTGAGCCCCCGCTGCATCAGACGCTACTCGCAATCATGCAGGTTTGCATCTCCAGACTCATGAATGAATGACAACTGGCGTCGGAACGAGCCCTTCTGTGCGTGCTTATGTGTGTTGTGTTGTGTTCATTGCAGGGCACTGTCCATCGCTCCTGTCGTGAGGCTGCGGCCGTCGCATTGGACAAGCTGCTCCGGGCCGGCTACCCCTTCCTATTCGCGTCCGAGCCAGCTGCGGTCGAGCCCTTGCTGGCAGCCCTCGAAGACCTGCTCCCTGATGACCCCTGCAAGACGGAGACGGACGACATCATCTTCAGCATCCTGCTCTCGGCATCTGACAACTGGGGTTCTGTGTATACCCCGTCCATGGCCAACAGACGCATCAAGGCAGGCGGCCCCGACTATCGTGAGGTCGTCCTGGCCAACCACCAAGCCCTCCTGCATCGAGCTGAGGCCCTTCTGTACCACTCCCCCACGATGAACAATTGCGCCGCTTTCATGTTCCTGGCTAGCTTCCACCTGCCCATGGCCGCCAAATCCTGCCCTGTCGGCGCCCGGATGCGGCAGCTGAGTGTGTCGATGCAGCTGGGCGTTGTGGACGAGTCGATCGGCAAACGGCTGGGAGACTACCCCTTCAAGTACTTTGCGGACCTTCTGTCAGTCTCCGCCTTCATCACCGCACAGCAGAACACAATCTGTGCAGTCGTGACCGGTACGTGCGCCAGTTGGACAGTCACGTGGCTCTTATGATGTGCAAAAGATTGCGTGTGTCGTCGTCAGGTCGATACAAGGAGGTGTTGGCAGCGATCGAGGAGCATCTGGTGCCGCACCTTTCTGATCTGGTCGAGAAGCTCACCAGTAGTGAGGACGACAGCATCAAGCGGCGGGCGGCCAGCCTGATCGGGTGTATCTTCCACTTGGCCCACATCCCCTACCGACCCAACACGCTGCCTCTCCCTCCCAAGGACACTCAAATGCACATCGATGAGGGTGAGTGAGCCGAGAGACCGACACTGCCTGCCCATCAGTGAAGTCTCCGTCTGTTTCTCCAGTGATGCGCGAGCCTGTCCGTGTGCTGCTGTCGAATGGGTCGGCGCTGCAGACGATGGCCACGCTGCTCGGCAGCACCGACATCGCAATCGACCTGGGAGTGGGGGATGAGCCTACCATGCTAGTCATGAGCCCTGCTCAGCAATCCCAGAGCATCCGCAACAAGGTCGACTTCGGTATCGCCATGCCGCTCGCCGTCGCCCGGCACCTCTCAGGTACATCCATACCACTTCCATCCATCCATCCATCCATCGATGCATCGTGTGTTGGGGTTCAGATCCAGCCCTCAACCGGGATGCACACGAGCACGTCCACGCTCTTGTCGACGCCGGCTACGTGAAGGCCCTCGTCACTCTGCTGGGCGACGATCGCCTCTTCTGCGTCAAGGCGGCCACACAAGTGCACTGCGGCTTCAGCGATGATGATGAGGACGACAGTAAGCTTGTGATGATGGTGGGTTTCGGCGCCGCCACGCAGAAGGCGACATACGAGTGTCTTGACATGCTCTACAGGATCGCCATGCGAGTCGACAAGGTCCGACAGACAGCGGCTCCACCGACATTATGGTGATTATTGTGTGGCAGCAGTGTGTGTGTGTGTGTGTGTGTGCGGTGTGCAGGTTGCGTGTGACAAGTCGGTGGTGCGTGTGCTATGTGACCTGCTGGCAAAGCACGCCAGAGGCGAGGTCTGCATCAAGGATGAGGACTTTTACAACACCATTGTCCACCTTTTGACCGAATTCGTGGCGTAAGCAGCACACCGAGGGCAGCAAATCAGCAATCGTGCTTCCTCCAGTGTGTGTGGTGTGATGTGATGTGATGTGATGTGATGCGATGTGAGCAGCTTCGGTGATCGTCAGGTGGAGCGTGGAAAGATCGCAACCAATGTGTTCCGCACATACGTGTTCAATGTAGGCTCGCATATAGCCACACAGACGGTCACTCGTGTCATCCCTGCAGCCCTCTCTGTCGATACATATATATACATATATGTGTGTGTGTGTGCCCCTGTTGCTGCCATCTGTCAAAGCTTTGATGGATCTGCCACGCGGCGCAGGCAGACTGCCAGAATGGGTGGGCGAGTAGGCGCGTGAGCAGACACGTGTGAGTGTGCATGTGTGTTTGCACAGGTATTGAAGAATTTTCGGGATTTGCTGGAGGAGCCTGACAAGCTCAAGCAGTTTCGGGCGATGCAGCGGAGGCTCGAGGCAGCCAGACACATAGCACCAGTGCCAAAGTAGACACTCAGCCAGTCAGTCGTGTGTCGAGAGGGGGATGCAGGCAGCACGCGCAATGTGGAAGTGGAGGGAGGCGCGTGAATGTGTGTGTGTGTTTGTGCGTGTATGTCACGGGCATGTGTCGGTGCGTGTCTCAGTCGATCCTGCATGCATTTTGAATGAATGGATCATACGTTTTTGTGTATGGGGTGAATGAGTGGATGTGAAGGCTCATTAGTTTTGGTCCTGAGGTTGGCTGAGTTGGTCGCTTTCTTTCCATATGGACGCTCGGACGGCCAGAGAATGGTTGGTTCTGTAGGCAAGTATGCTCATTACAGACACGCACACTAGTGCCTCAAAAAGTGGTGCATTAACAACCACACACTGATCGGTCAAGGGAAAAAACGGCCCATCAACACACCCTTCTTCAGCTCTCGGGCCCGCTCCAGCACCAATGAGCGAGCCTTTCATCTTTGTGTCTCCAGGGAGGGCAAGAAGTCTGGCCACCACACTACAGCAGCGAGTCAAAAACGGCCATCAACACACGGAGCATTCTCTGGGCCGGACTCAGCAGAGACACAGTCACTCAGTCACTCAGTCGTGGGAAGGGATGAATGAGATGGCTTGGGATGGTTCTGCTTTCTTTCAATATACCTGCTCTTTCAATATGCGTGCTTTGTATCTGTAAGCACGTATATTGTCACTGCACCGAGGTCCCCTACGCAGAAACCAACACTTCACCCACACCCACCCTTGAGTGTCACATTCAACTCCATCCTGCGCGCACACACGCGCACACGGATGGACGCACGAACGACCACAAGTACCCTACTTACGTCAGGAAGCCGTTTCTGGGCTGGCTGCCAGGCTGTGTCTCGGCTCACTTGGTCGATAGGGTCAGCACAAGTGTTGCTCTGCATCCCATCAACTTTGTGTCTCCGGGGAAGGCATAAGCGGGTTCGTCTTCTACGGATCGAAAGCCTCCACGATATGAAATGCACGCAGCGATTCCTGACAGCAAGAAAGACAAGGAACCACAAAAAAAGACATGTCTCTGTGGCGTTCGTTTTGGTGCTGTTTTCGTTCACATTTGTCGAGGGCCGACTTAGAAAGCAGGCGACTCGGCACCGCCCTCGGCCTGCCGTCTGACCCGTGCGTAGAGGCGCTGGGTCCTGTCGTGGTCGATGGGTACCGTCTCGAAAGCAAGCGCCACGGGAATCAGCCTGCCGTCATGACGCGCGCTTGAGTGGCCCTTAAGCGCTCACGCCTGCGGACAGAGACGGGAAAAGGGCAAGGCATCCAGTACTCTAACAAGTGCCTCTCTCTCACTCCTCCTGAAGCTGCCGCTCGTTCGCTCTTGAATTTTGCAGCTGCTTGTACAGCCGCTCGTACGCTTCGCGATATCGGCGAAGGCCCCCCTCGCCGAGCGTTTCCAGCAGCAGCTGGTGCTCCTTGTCAAATGCCTTCCTGCGAGAGAAACAGACAAGCGCACAAAACATGCGTCATCTTGCTGATTATTGCTCACTCAAAGTCGAGGGAGTCGTCGCTTGACGACCGTGAGTGCGTCATGGTGCTCGGGGGCTCACTGGGGGCTCTTGCGAGCGGCAGCTGCAAGCACCTTCAAGAGTTCACCGAGCGTTTCTTGAAGCAGCTGCTGGTACGTACTGCTTGTCAAGCGCCCTCATGCGGGGGGAACAGCCAAGCGCACAAAACATGCGTCATCTTGCTGATTGCTTACTCGAAGTCTAGCGTCACTCGACGACCTTAAGTGAATGGCCATGCAGCTGGTGTCAGCTGGAGAGGGGCGGCTGCTTGTTCATGCCATCGTACGCTCTACGGTATCGTCGAAGTCCCCCCTCGCCAAGCGTTTCAAGCAGCACCTGCTGGTAGTCTCTATCAAACTGCTTCCTGCGGGAGAAACAGACAAGCGCACAAACGCTACCCATACATCATCTTGCTGATTATTGCTCACTCGAAGTCAAGGGAGTCGTCGCTTGATGACCTTGAGTGCATTGCTGAGTATTTTTCGGCTGTCTGCGCCGGGGAAAGACGGGGGGCCGAGCATTTCTTGAAGCACCTGCTGGTACTGCTTGTCAAGCGCCCTCCTGCGGGAGAAACAGACAAGCGCACAAAAGCTACCCATTTTAAGCACACTCATGGCAACAAAATGCACCATGCCCTTACCCCTACAAATCATCCACACGAGGGCACACTCATATGTATTCACCTGTTGGAGCTGATGCCAGGCAGTCGCCAGCCGCTCCACAGAAGGCAGGGGCACGGCGGCGGAGGAAAAAAGTGGCGGATGACATTCGCACGGGTTGGGAGGGGTAGAGGCAGATGCGGTCGACAACACAAGCCAACAACCAGCCAAAAAAAAAGAACGGAGGATCTGTGGCTAAAAACAAGGCTGGAAAGCCGAACGCGGACAAAAACGAGAAATAGCTGCAAGCTCGTAAATCATTTTTGTCTCCGTCTCTCCCAGCGATCTCGCCTCTTTGAATTGGGTAACATCGATCACAAGGCCCCAGGAAAGAGGCCAAACGGGCCGACCGGCGTTCCTCATCCTCGATAGCCGATGCACTCCCCCGTTACGCGGACTTCTGACGCACAGACAAGAGACAAAGCGGCCTCTGCCTATTCGACGAACGGTCCACGTGCGTGTCATGTTGCTTACGTGAGTGCCGACATCGGTGTGAATCAATAGCACCAGGATTCAGGATCTTTCTCGCGTCCGAGCTCGCGAGGCCCCCACTCGGCCCCCGTCTTTCCCCGGAGTTCCAACCATCCCCGCTGGCCACGGAGCACCATGACGCACTCACGGTCGTCGAGCGACGATTCCTTACATTTCGAGTGAGCAATCAGCAAGATGACGCATGGTAGCCATTGTGCGCTTGGCTGTTTCTCCCGCAGGAAGGCATTTGAGAAGGAGTACCAGCTGCTGCTGCTGGAGATGGTCGGGAAGGAGCAGTTTGACGTGTTTCGCGGATCGTACGAGACCATGTACAAGCACCTGCAGACATCAAGAACGAATGAGCGGCAGCTCGAGGAGGAGTGAGAAAGAGGCACTGGCACTTGTCAGAGTTACTGTACTGGATGCCTTGCCCTCTTCCCGTCTCTGTCTGCAGATGTGACCGCCTGAGGGCCACTCAAGCACTCGAGAGGAGGAGAAGTTCCCAGGCGTCAAGTGCCTCTGCTGTCGGTACGCGTCATGTATGTGTGCACACGACCTTGAGCTTTCTCTGCATGCACTTCTTTGCAGGCCAGGAGTGCGACGAAGCGGTGCACCAGCTGGAGACAGCGCTGAAGGAGAAGTCGGCAGCCTTGGTAGAGGCCAACCGCAAGATAACAGCACTGGAGCGACGTGTGCAGGCAGCAGAGGGCGACGCGTATCACTTCAAGACACAAGTTGATGTTGTCCAAGAGGAGGCACACAAGAAGACGAGAGAGACGCGACAGTTGAAGGAAGAGATGAAGGCGCTCCGCAAGGAAGAAAACAAGCCCCTTGTGCCGCCTTTCGCCATTCCATTCTCTTCAACCAGCAGCCCGCGAAGCCCCAGAAACGTCGACCGCACGACGCCACGGGAGGGCGAATTTTTGCGACAGATGAACGTGAGACAAGAGAAGGAATCGAAGGAGAGAGTTGCCTCTTTTCTCTTTGTGATGCCATCAGGAGCTCCTGAGAGAGCGTGATGAGGCTCGAGAGGAGGCATCTGTGTTAAAGAGTAAGAACGACGAGTTGAGGACGGTCACTGCCAATCTCCAGGCCACAATAGAGGCATCCAAGACAGGGCAAACTGGCGCAGCTGTGCTCTCTGAGCTCACCTCTGAGGCTGAGCCGGATAATGGTACGCCAAGCCTTTATGTTTGTCATTCAAGACGTCGCATTGTTGCCTTCTTCTAAGGTGAGCGGCTGGACGACGCCCTGAGACACGCTGAAGATATTGAGTGCCGAGAAGCATTGGATGCCGCGCAAGCAGAGGTCGAGGTACGCAGAAACAACACGCAGATTGAAAGACATGTATGTGTCCGTGCATCTATGACCGGTTGTATAGTTTTTGCGTAAAAGAGGACGTGAGCTCGAGTCCGTGGTCGAGGGCCTTAGAGCCAAACTCAACAATGAGAGCGCGGTGACCGTTCGCAAACAAGAAACACGCATGTCTCGCTCATCTTATTGTCTGTGTCCTCCTCCTCAGGGTTGGGGAAACTGGTCGTCTTGTGGAAGATCAAAGTGCTGGGAGGGAGGCCGATCGCCGTGCGGCTCTTGCAGGTACGACAGCCGACTGCATGGACCACACAGGGCACTCAGATAGATGAGGCTTTGGTTTGGCAGTTCGTGTTGCATGCCAAGAGGCCCAGGAGGCCAACCACCACCCGACCAGAACGGCAGACGCCCCTGGTATGCCAAGGTCTTCTCGCCAGCTTCATGGTTCGGGTCGCCGCTCGCAGGATCAGGTACAGCACACCCACCCAAGCGCGAGGAATGAATCATTCACTAATTCATCTTTTTGTGATCTGGGCAGGATCGCAAGAGAGCGCAGCTGCACGTGCTGACAGTGTCTCTCCATCGGTTGAGGACAGGTGCACCGATCAAGCAGTACTCAATCAGTGTCTGCATATCTCCTTGGGTCTTTCTGCGCCATCCATGCAGTGAAGCCGCAGGGTCGGACTACAAGGGCCTCAGCATGGGAAACGCCGATGGCGCTTTGAACTGATTCAGTGAGTGAGCGTTCGGTGGTCGATGTGTCTCTCTGTTTGCTGGCCAAGTTGAGCTGTGTTTGCTAGAGACTAGGTCAGTGTATCTATCGGGCACGAACACAAGCCTTGGGCTGCTCAACTAGAGTTTTTGATATACACAGCTTCTCTTTGTGCGTGAAAAGCTACTCGATGAATGGGTCGGATGCTCTCCATACATGTGCATTACATGTGTGTGTGTGGGACCCGACTTCATCAATTTTTCATCGATCGGAGAGCGATTGGTCGGAGAGCTAAGATGGCGGTCAAGCTCCTCTTTGTGCTGTCTCTGACGGTGTGGTGGCTGGCCCGCTGCAATGCACTCCATGTCGGCCGCAAACACAATGGTAGGTGAGTGAATCAATACAGAGAGAGGGAAGGGCCCCGCTCTCGTCTGTCTCTCCTGGCTGTGAATCATGATGATGGCACAGGTGAGGCGTCTGTGTGGCCGAGTACCTGCAGATAGCCAACCACACAGTCGACTGTCGCCGGTCAATCACTCTCCTGCCGGCAGAAATGGTCAGTCAGTCAGTGAGCCTCTCCACCACATCAATCAATCAGTCACGCGATTGTCTGTCCATCTGTCTGTCTGTCTGTCTGTCTGTCTGTGTGTGTGTCGTCAGGGCATCAGTGGCGTCGATGAGATGCGCGAGTGGTGCGACAAGGCCACTGAGTGCACGGCATTCAGCTGGCCGACTGCACGTGTGTGTCTCGATGACACGTGGATGCGCACGCTCCAAACCCTGACCACACAAACATCGCCGTACGACCTTCTGACACACAGAGACACACTGCACGTGTCTCTCTCTCTCTCTCTCGCTGTCTCCTCATTGAAGGTTTGCCACGACTTATGTCAAGCCGCTGTTGGTTGCCAACTACGACGTCTACTCGAACATGCTGAGTGCGTGCAGCGAGACGCTCGAGCAACACGACAACATCAACGCCACCACAGCCGCTAACCACTGGTGGGTAGGGCAGCGCAGCAATAGAGTCAGTGTCTCTCCCTGTGTGTGTGATGTGTGATGTCCAGTGACGAGTTGGAAGACTGTCGGTTCTTCACCCTCCGGCCCAGCGAAGAGACGACCACATTCGGCCGGGTGCAGTTCTGCAGCGGACGGCTGCACCACCACTATCACCCAGGAGCTGTCACGGCACTCAAGCTCAAAGGTGAGAGATCCAGTGACCGACAGCCACGTGACGCGCGTGTGTGTGTGTGTTGTTGTTGTGATGTGTGCAGAGAAGATGGAGCGAGGTGTGAATCGGTCGGAGAGGCCGCCCTGTGCGCTGAGGGGGCCGATCCGAAGCGACGGAGAGATCATCCCACCAGGATGTAAGCAACCATGTAATTAATGGACGTGTCTCCCTGCCTTTGATGTGTGTCTGTCTGACGTTTGTGTGTGCAGACGTCTCGTGACATTAACAGCTGCGGTATTGTGGTGCGCTGGCAACCGAGGGACTGATCGAAGCGACAGAGACAGACTGCCAGAGGATTCATGCCTTCACACAGTGCATTCAACCGCTGTAAGAGAGGAATTGACCGATGGCCTCCACACAGCGGACATACACACAGTGTGCCACACACCACGTGGAGGAATGAAGGTGTGTGTGTCGGCAGAGAAGGAACGGCCGGGAGGAATGAATGGATGTCGGGGCTCATGGATTTCAATATGGATGCTCATTGCTCAGACAGCCAGAGAAGGCTTGATAGCGATAAGCACGAACAGTGTCACTGCAGCCACGTATGATCGAATGCATCAACACGTCACCCACACACTGATCGGTCGAGGAAAGGCAGAGTGCAGAAATAGCCAACTCGCATAGCATCCAGTCACCACACGCCAGACAGCCAGCCGTCCCCGCTAGACACGATGTTCTGTACAGCTAGCTAGTCATCATAGACATGTCAGGAATGCGTTGGCAGCCTCACCAGCTGCAGCTCTACATACTCTACATACGCACCCGACTCGCTGTCATCGGCAACCAGCCCATAGTGGGCTGTCTCTGCCTGGTCGATGCAATGCTCCACCACTGAACGCAACTCGGCCTCTCTGCTCTCACACCCCTCCCGATTGTGCAGAGCACTCAGACCGACAGACGCTTTCAGACGAGCGGTTGCAGGCCGCACAGCAGCGATCAACGCGACGCCAGACGCAATCTCATCTATCGTTTTGCTAACGATCACTTCGACAGTCATGGAAGCGATGTGAGGGTATCGGGTGCAGGCAGAGATGGCGGGCACATCTGAGCTGCAATCCAATGCCACCACGTCGACGCTCTCTAGCTTGGCAGTGGGGGGCAGCTGCGATAGGCAAAACGCTGCCACGCCCATGTTCGACAAGCAGGTCAGACTGACTGTCGTGAGCCTATCTAATATGCCCAACAGCGCACGAAGGCCATCGGGCCCCGCAGGCACGTCATCACACACACCCCCGTCGAAGCCGAGGTGGAGGGTGGTGATGTTGGGCAGGTGGCGATTGCCACCGGTGGTGTCGCTCTTGGCTGCCATCCACTGCGGCACACTCGACAACGCCCGGGATGACGTCAGGCCCGCCACCGTGAGAGAAGTGGCCTTGGTGAAGACCAGCAGGCCGGCCCACGACGGGTGCAGAGGCTTCCCGCCACACTGCAGAGTCACCTGCGTGTATCCAACCGTACACCCGTGGCAGACAAGGAGCAGGGGTGAATGTGCGTCTCTTTGCGGCCTCTAGTCTTGGTGCTGCGTTGCTCACGTGTTTGGCTGTGCTGCTGATGTCTTTGATCAGTTTGGTCATGAAGCCAGTGGGTGCAGGAGGGGAAGTGACGAGGTCCCTGGAGCAGTCGACACGAACCTCACTCGCCCTCCAGTCGACCATGCAGTTGACCGACGCTGCAGACAAACCCACACATTCAACAGAGATGCACAGCATTGCAATCCTCCTGTTTGTCCATTTGTCGGTTTGTCGTACCGACTTACCTGCCCAGTCGAGGAAGGCAGGGAGGCCGATCTGATCACGGCCTGTGGGGCGGAGCAGATGGTCGGTGAAGGGGACGGAGATCCTGCCGTCGAACTCCAGGCCGAGCCTCTTCTCAACGTCTGCACACAGCCACAAAGAACATTGCGGCCAGCCCGCTGTCGATGGCTCCTCTGTCTGTTCTCGCTCGGTGGCTGGCGCACCCTTTAGGCTATCTTTGGTCCAGATGGGGTCGAGAGCACGCTTCAGCTTGCCCAGTGTCGACGTGAATTCATAGGGGCACACCTGCACCAACTCGATGTCGGTGAGGTGCGGGCATCCCAGAACGAGGGAATCGAAGTCAAAAAACAGGCAGTCGATCGCTGCAGACAGGTGGGAGGGTCAGAGAAGTCATCCATGGGTGCAGCAGCTGCATGTGAGAACTGTGACTGCTTACACAGTGACTTGAGCTTGGGGGCATGCTCCATGATGTCACTCATCCCCCAAGAAGACCCCCGAGCTCGCAGGCGAAGGAGCGATGGGAATCGCCACCCTCGGAACCTAAACAAACACACACGCACACACACACAGAGAGAGAGAGGGGATGATCAGTGCATAGCAGCTGTGTGACCATGAAGAACACTGATGCTTACCCACGGCGACGCCTCAGCCTGAACACACACACACACACACGCACACACACACACACACAGACACACAGTGTGTGTGAGAGAGAGAGGGAGAGAGAGGGGATGATAAACACACATCACAGCTGCCTGTGACCGTCAGACACCCGCTGCTCACCCGTAATCATATGGCCACTGTTCGACGTAGAGGTCCTCCAGCTGTGAGAAGGCCACAGTGGACGGTGAAGTCGGCACGCTGTAGTCGTAATCCTCAAAGCCCGAGAGGTCGTAGTCGTTCTCGAGTCTCTTCTCGTAGAGCTTCATGCTCCTCACTGTGTCGCGGGAGGCCTCGATGCAGTCGAGAGGGAAGTCGAGGCCCTTCCAATGAGAGCTAATGTGCACCGTCCGCAGCCGACCCTGACCAAGAACCAGAACATGCTCCCTCCCCGGCCGCTCGATGGCTGGTGGAATGCGCTGGCACACCAGTTTCTGCTTCAGTGTATCGAGGTCTCTGCCGGTCCTCGCGCTTCCGCCTGGCATTGCTCCGAATGCCCTCATCCCACCACTCTCGCTCGTCCACACCAATGACCAGATGGCGGTACACGCCCCTGGTGTCGTCGGTGACGGGCTGCTTGATGGCCTGGTTGACGCGGGAGAGGGGCGCGGCGTCTTTGGTGGGCATGAAGGCCAACACGTCGTGCGCCACGTCGGGCGGCAGGCCGTCCAGACACGGACGACCGAGCTGACCACACACACAGGGGCGCACATGTCATGTGTGAGGATCTTTGGGCTGGTCTGATGTGTGGCTTGCCTGGGTTATTGTGGTGTCTGGTGGGAGGGGTTTGTTGGCGATGGGGTGAGGGAGTGGCGGCTTGGCGACTTTGACGCTGTCGAGTGTCTTGATGAGACCCCGCAGCGTGTCGTGTCGCAACGCCACCGACTGCTCCACCGTCATCAGCTTACTCGACAGGCCGGGCACCTGCCAACACACATCACCACTCACAAACAGAAGGAGAAGGGCGTGTGTGTGTGTGTGTGTGTACCTTGTCGGCCAGTGTGGGAGTGACGAGTGGTCGCACCTTTAACAGCACGGTCGCCGTCTGCACCTCGAGCGATTTGATCTTCTTCAACAAGGGGACCAGCCGACGGACATTCGCCCTGTCGGCCTGATGGAATGAACGAACACACGGACACACACAGAGCCATCAAGTGTGTGTGTCTGCGTGTGTCGTCCATGCAGGTGGTTGTGCTGCTGACCCAGTCTATGACGGGATGCACCCCTTGGTCCGAGGGCTGCCCGCCATCTACAGCTACACCAGTGCTACATCCACCACCTGAGAGAGAGAGAGAGAGAGAGAGAGCATCACAACAAAGGCAGCCGGCCATCAAAGAGTGAGTCGGTCTGTTCCCTTCATGGGTCCCTCTTCCCACCTCCAGCAGCAGCAGCAGCTGGCGATGAGTCAATATTGTCCACACGAGGCCGCTTGCCGGCATTCTCGTCAGCACCGCCAGACATCTGCAAACCAACGAAAGATCTGAAATAGCTGCTCCTCTCTCTTTTGTTCTGTCGTGGTTGGCGCTTACCTCCATGAGTTGCTATGGATGCACCAGCAGCAGCAGCAGATGGGTCATGTGAAGCCAAGCTGCTGATCTTGATGTCAGCACGTCCCTCCGTGGACATTCACAAGCCACAGGGAGAACTCGTGGCGCCAAGCTCGCAAATGATGCCGATCGGGGGATAAAAGTGAAGCAAAACGGCTCTTTCGCAGGTTGTTCCAGGTCAGCAGACACAGTAAGGAAGGTAACAAGCGAAAAGACCGAACATGCGTGACCTCACTGCTCGCCGTGTGTGTTGTCAGCTGTCGAGCCCTCGGTGAAGAAGCAAACGGAGAAGCAGCCTTTGTTCTCGGAGTCTGGTTGGCCTGCCAATCCACCCGCTGATGGTATGAGAATGAATGAACGAATCAACGATGTGTGACGGCAAGGCAAAGCACCACTGACTGGGGTGGCATCTCTGTGTGTTCTCACCGCAGGTGTCGTCGATGGCTTCGCGGTGGCGGCCGTCGAGTGACTGACTGACCAGGTGCGCCGGCAATGTTGGATGGAGAAGGGATTTGCAATTGACTGTGTATCTCTGTTTGTGCTTGCAGTGGTGTGACTCGGTGTGATGGCCCAGTCGTCCTCTGCCGCATCGCAAGCACCTCCTCATGCTACGCTGCCACACGGCTGCAAGGGGCTGGATGACGTCGACATCGTCCCTGATGAGGGCGTCAGTGCTCTCAGCCGGCAGCTTTTGGAGGGCTGCATCCGCCACACGTTCACCGAAGTCAGTCAAGTCACACAGCTGATCGGGCAAGGAGCCGACCCGAGAGCCCTCGGCGGCCTGCGCGTATCGCGAGTACCGCCGTACGCGCGATATAGCTGCCTGTCTTTCGCCATCGACAGCCCCGCAAACGGACTATTCCTCTACGCATACGGGCCTTTTCCTGCTCAAGTGCCCCTCTTCCTGCCACAGTGGTCCTCCCGCGAGCTGCAGCGTGATATCATCAATGCACTCATTGACGGCGGTGCGGACATCAATGATGGCGACGGCTCCGAGAGGCCCATCAAGATTGCGATTCGTGCGGGCAATCTGACGGCTGTGGAGGCCCTCCTGGAGCGGCAGGCCAACGTGCGGGGATTCACGGTGATGCAGCTCCCCTACGTCTCTGAGGCTGCCGCTGCCCTCACTTGTCAGTACGAGGACGCCCTCATGTCGGTGTACCGTCGCCTCATCCAACACGACAGCACACTTGCAGCGGAACGGACCTTTGGAAGCTGTCTGGTTCATTCGGCAGCCGTTAAGTCTGCTAGGTTCTCCCAGCAATTCATCGACCAGTACCTCACCCTCATCACCAGCCACGGAGCCGACATGACGGCAACAGACACCGACGGCTCGACGCCACTGCACTGGGCGGCAAAAGCTGGTTCCCCCTGTGTGGCTGATTGGCTGTGCCGCCAGCTCACAGTTAATGACGTCAACCGAGGAATGCCGAACTACTGGGGCCCCCAGCCTCATCGGACAGCACCCCTCGCCGTCGCTGCCGAGGCGCTCTATGATATCATCCAAGTGCAGCGGCAGGGAGAGTGGGACGCGAGACGGATCCGCGAGCACAGGACCACCATCCGTGTGCTGCTGCGGGGCGGGGCGGCCCCATGCATCGCCCGCATGCCCACCGCCACTGACATGCAGCGCCGTCGCCGCCAGCTGGTGCTGGCCGAGTATGCCACAGTGCTGGGTGAGCTGTCCGACGTCGTCATGTCGGCCATCAACGGCGCCCTCGCCCCCCAGCGCGACCACTCGATGCTTCTCGCCCGTCTGCTGCCCCTGGCCCCCCACCACGACGGTGCCCACCCCCACCCCTCCCCATCCAACATGGCATTCGGCCCACACGAGGCTGAGGCCATCGGCTGGAAGATCGGCGCCTTCCTACACGAGCCCCCCGCTGCTGTCGCCGCCATCGACCAGTACCTCATTGGCGAGTCGGTGCTGAGGCGCCGCGTGCGTGCGGCCGTCGGCCACTTCGTCAAGTCGGCGGCCACACAGACGAGCAGCAACAGGGAGGTGGTGGGCGGGACGCGATACGAGCAGCAGGGCGACAAGCGCGTCAAGGTGACCGTCCCGCCGCTGCAGTGCTTTGCCTTTCGCGGCAGTGGGGGGCAGGGGGTGCTGAAGGGTGTGCGTGAGGTGGTGCACTGGGCCCGGCTGGACGAGGTCAGCCATGGTGGGGTGGGGGTGGTCAAGGGCTTCAACGAGCATCTGGGCGACCAGGACTGCCAGTTCTCATGGCAACAGCTGGGCCGCATTGACAAGGGGACCGGCCTCTTTGTGCCGCTGGGCATCGACTGACTGAGACGGAGAGGGATGGAGAGGCCATGAGAAGGGGCGAAGTGGCTGTATGTTTGAATGCATTTTGACAACGTCGACTTGATTATGTCAAATCGTGTCTTTCACTTGCTCCACGACGACATGGAGCGTCTGGAAGCGTCTGTCGCGGTGAGCCATTCTGCCCTGAATCGACCCGCATTCATTCATCCGAACAATCCGTCATGTACGTACTTCATTGCACACACGTAAATAATGCCCCTGACAGTCAGTGAAGTACAAGCTTCACAGCTGTTTGATCTCATTCACACCCGTCATCGCAGCTGAGAAGCGGAGAGCGTGAGATGGATCAATGCAGCTGAGAAATAAAGAGTCGGGGGGGAGAGCGCGGAACCGTGAAACCCGAACCCTGACCCACGATGCACACCGACATATCTCCGTACGTCTTACTGGGGGTACACGAATGACTGTATCATCATTCATCCTATTCACAAGAAGGGCACACTGAGTGATCCTGATAATTATCGTGGTATTCACTTACTGTCTGTATTCATGAAGCTGTATGGTAATGTGCTTCAGCCATTGCTGCTGCAGCAAGCCAAGGTATGCCCTGAACAGGCAGGATTTCGTACGGATCACTCCACTATCGGGCATTGTTTTGTGTTAGCCACACTCATCGAACGTGCCAAGCGAGCGGGCTCTCCATTCTATGTGTGCTTTGTGG